TTAATATTTTTACAATTTGTTAATGAAAAAATGTGTCAGAATGCAAATGTAAGTTAATTCCCTTGTCCACTTACCGCTTTAATTACCCCACTTCAGCAGTATTATATAGAATGCCTCACATAACTTGTATATTCTTTTATCGTACAGCCTTATGAAAGCATGTATTCTATTGTAGAATATTCACAAAATTTTAATGTATGTAAAAATGTATGAGTTTTATTTGTTAAAAGATATTAAAGAGACGATGTTTTCGTATACATGGATAATTGCCAAAGGAAATTTTGTTAAAATTGACTGGATCTGTCGATTTTATGTTTTACAAAAATTTCAATCCAAAGTTTTTGCAACCTTATTTATTCTGTCGATTTATTTAAAAGGATATTTGTATTTTCTTTTATTATTTTTTACAATAATTGTCATTCAACCTTTACCAGAGCCAATTTTCATTGACTCGATTTTGAAATAGTTCTATTTTTTTTTTTTTCTTTCTTTAAGGTCAATGTCCCTTTTTCCATAAAAAATAAACCAGATTACATTTTTCATTTGAAATTTTAGAATAGTTTGTAAAAACTATATAACATTTTAAACATTTAAAACTGTTATACATAATTATATATATATATATATATACGTATTAAATAAAATTCCCTCTTCAATTAAAATTTAAATGACTAGAAAATGTTCTCACATTAAAACCAGATTAGTTCCATTTCATTTAATAATCTCATTTATATTTTTTTAAGCACTTAGTTAAAAGATAACATTAAAAAAAAATTACAATGATAAAAATAATTGTAATAATAATTGTAATAATTGTACAATAACTGTACAATAAAAGTTATAATAAAAATCACTGTTATATAATACGTTATGTAAGTATATGTTAAGGGAATTATGTTTTGTAACAACATACGGTATCGCATTTTGATCTTTTACACAATTTTTTTTTTACTCATTTCTTCTTGTTTAGTTCAAATTTATTCACACGTATGTGTGCGTTTGTGCGAGTATAAATGAAACAATTCTTAACTTTCTACACTTGGTATATAAGTGTCTTGTATAAAAGTTGGGTTTCTTTTATTATGTTTTTCTTTGAAAATATAGACAACAGTAATAAAACAATCGATAATTTGAACAAAAATTTTATTAAATAATTTTTGAATGGAAGAAATTATTAATGTAATCTTTGAGGTAAATATTTGTGAAATACTGGAATAAGGTGAGCAGATGTATAAGTTTTTATATTACTTTTGGTGAATTACTTCTACAATATGACCACTTTGTGTCGGATCAAAAATAAATTTCGATTTTTGTTGAGGTTTGCTTCAAAATTTTTTGTACAAAAATAAACTTCTAACTCGTGCTATCCAACAACAGAGTTACTTCGATTTAAAATGATTTTGTGTCTATGTATACTCTTGTATATTACGTAAAAATTTAATTGTCGAATTCTAAATAATTTTGAAATTCTGAAGAAAAACGTACAATATAGTTGAAAACAGGAAACTGAAACCTTAAACGAATTAAATTTTGCAATTTTTTGAATGTATTAAAATCTTGATCTTGCAATTCAAAGTCTGAAAAACCGGAAAATATTTCACATATGATTGAACATAATTCCGTTCCAAAACTGAAATTCATACGTTTTTTTTATGACAGTTTTAAGTTAAGATTACTCGAACAGCTATAGTTCTAAAATTAGATTGAATAAGGTGTTTCTCTACAATATTGAAAGAAATTTAATAGAAACAGGCTCCTGAAATTCGTATAAAATAATTCCAGTAAAACCGACAAAATACCCTAAATCTAGTCATAATTCGTTTCACACTCAAATAATTGAGCGACAAAATTACCGTTATATAATAAGAGAAATTCGTACATACATATACACATATTATTATTTTCAACTTTTGATTATTTTGTGTATTTCTAAATACTTCCAATGAACCTACGTATTCTGTAGAGAAATCATTCACTCAATGAAGCAGATGCTTATGACGATATTTTTTCGTCTCTCTTTCTGTTTTTTTTTTATAATAAGAGAATGTACATATATCAAAAATAAATAAAATGAGAGCATATAAATTACAAGTGTATAAATATCGAAAATACATATTTATTTAGTTGACCGTTATGTATATCTAGTTTATTATTTAATATAAATGTTTATTTGTATTTTAAATTACATTTACAAATAAAATTCAATGATGCCTGTAATTTTTACCCTCTGGCCATCACCACTCTATTTTATTGCTATAGAAAGAGGAAAAAAAAATATTTTTCATTCTACGCCGCCTCATCTTAAAAATTATTTCTTATTGTTAGAAGCAAAGCACAAAAAAAAATATATATAAATAAAACAAATAAAGAGAAAATAAAAATAATTATTTTGTTTTTATTTTCTTCCCTATATCCTTATAAAAAGAAAATGTCCTGAAAGGACATTTTTGAATTGATAAAATTAAATGGAAAAATTTTTTGTTTTTCTTCTTCTTATTTTGCTCTTTTATAAATTTTTGTTTTTGTTTTTGCTTTCTTAAAATATTCAAGGACTTTCTTTTTCCCGTAGACAGACATCATAATAAGTTGTCTGGAGAATGTTTGTATGTACGTAGGTGTGTTACAATGAATATAAAATAAAAATGGTATAAAGGTAGATCCTATATGATTAGAGTGACATGAACCTGAAAACAGGTAATATAAGGAAGTTTAAATTGAAAATTGAGGTTTTTTGATGCGTGTCCAAAATATATTGATTTTTTTTTATATTTTGATAAGTTTGTTGTAATTTTCTATATAATGCAAAAAGTAAAGGTGGAATAATGTAAAAAGTTACAATAATTTTATTCTAAATTGTGTATTATGAGAGTATAGAAAATAGAAAATCAAGTTTTATGATAAGGTCGGAAGTAAAAGTAATCTTAGTGCGCGCAGCAGCATAATTCAAAACGAGAATTTAATTGAAAACAAATCACATAATATAACAAGGATAGCGAGATTAGTTTAGTTTCGTTGTTGGTTTAAAATCCTGCTTATAAATATTTGCTCATTCTTCCCTTTTAGTTATTTATTTGGTATATAAGACTGGAACGTTTTAAGAACAAAATAATTGTGAATTGTATTTAATCGTATTAAATATTTACGATATGAATATTTAAATCAAGATAACATTGCACAAATGCATCAATAAATGATTTTAACTCTAATATTTATTTTCCATTAAAATTGCATATTTATAGGGGTTCTTAAATTTTTTCAATTATTTTTAATTTTCTACTCAATTATTTTAATCGTTTCCTTTTTTTTGCATTTCTAATTAAAGAATTGATTTTAAAGCAATTAATCTGATTGATTTTATTTAATTAATTTTATTTTTTAAAACTTATGGCAATTTTCTATTATCTTTGCTACAAATGTCAAGCTTCCTGCTGATATTTTTGTTTAATTTACTTGCAAAATCAGTATACTTTCATTGAATATCATTATTGAAAATCTTTTAAGGATTTTTCTGTTTTGTATTATAGTTTTAATATAAAAGAGAAAAAGATTATGTTAGAATAAAATGCAGTTGTAGCATCTAAAAATTTTATTTTCGTTCGGAATGTGCTTTCAATTACAAAATTTATTGAACAATTTAGTCAAATGTTTAATAGTAGCAATTTGAGTTGATCCAATGTACGATTTTATTTTAATAAACTTCGGCTCTCCCTGCTCTTCAAATTAGAAATATAGTAATCAGTAAATTCACAAGACGACTATGAGATCTTATATTTAATAGTGTGTTCATTAATTGTAATCCTTTGCAATGGGTATTAGGATTTTGATTTAATTCGTAAAATACTTAGATATTTAGCAAAAAATTGAGATTAATTTCAATTTATAATAATTTTGTGTCAAAACTTGCACCCATCTGTTGCACATCCCATGGAAAAGAATTCGTTTTTATTCGTTAATCATCCAAAATTTGTAATAAATTTGGATATGTTTCAAAAAATTAAGAAATCCTTAAAACTTGATTAAAGAATTAAAATTGAATGCGATTAAAAGCGTAAATTTTTGTTAACTTATCTACAAGTCTTCCACCTCTTATATTTTAAATGAAATTTTCCAAATTTTATGAAATCTTCCTTCTAAAATTGCATCATAACTACGGTAGGATTTAATGCTAGAAATATTAGGTTGAATATCAAATATAATTATTTCATAAGAATTTTATTTAAATGCCTTCTTGTCTGTCAGATTAATCTAAAATCATCTTATTTTTTTTTATATCATAACTGCTTTTCTTTTTGTCTTTTTCTTTTCTTGTAAATTGTAAATTTATGTAAATCCATTAAAAAACTGTAAGGATGTTTGCGTACATACACACAAACATCCTTGTGATATGATTTAAGATGATAAATAGAAAGTGATAAGAAACAAAGAGCATATTAATGTGACGAAGAATATAAGAGGAATGAGAGGAGATAGAATAAGAAAGATGAAACATTGTGATTACTGAATACTGATATTAAAAAGAGAGAGAGCAAAAGAGAGAAAAAAAAGGCAAGAGAAATACCTCTTAACTCACTTTTATTTCATTTTTTTTTGCTTTTTAAGATTTTCATGTTGTAAAAAATGTGTTTTTCTTTAGAGCTCTTGCTTTTTTTCTTTCTTTTTGATGTTATTGCTGAGCAACAACAAAATTTAAAAGTTCTTTAACTGAGATTATATCTTAAACTAGATTTTGATTACTTAAACTACTCATTTAATAGACTGTTGAAATAATTGAAACAATTAAAAAGTTTTGTAATTGAATAAAAGATGATTGTCAAGAGTTTTGTATTTTTTTTTTAGATGTGGTAGAAAAATAATATGAGCATTTAAAAAAATCTAGATCAAGGCAAAAGGGAGAAAATGAAATTTGATTTCTTTTTTCCATATGATTTTAAAATTTTTCAATTTTTATATAGATTTTTTATAAAAAAAATAATTAATTTTATTTTTTTTTTATTTTTCAGGTTTTAACGTTTTTAATTGATTCGTCGCGTTTTCGATATCCCGAACGGGCGATCGTTTTTTTAGCCGTTTGTTATTTTGTTGTCGGATGTGCTTATGTTGCTGGTTTAGGTGCCGGTGATTCGGTAGCTTGTCGTGAACAATTTCCACCACCAATACGTATCGGTAGATTACAAATGTTATCAACAATAACACAGGTGAGTTTAAAAAATATTTTAATTTAAAATTTAATATTTTGATTGTAATATAAATAAAATCACAGAAGTTTTGTAATATTTTCGAAAGTACTTGTTTTCGAAGAATTTTGCTTGTATTCGAATATTTCTATTGGAATAATTATAGACAATGTGTCTTGTTAATCTAATATTGAAGATGCTTAGAGCATAAAATAAGCTTAGATAGTTCAATATTTAATTGAATTATCTCCGTGGAACCCTTATATATATACATTCATTTATAAGAAGAAAAACTCTTAAGAAAACTGGTAAAAAATTCGGAATACTAGAACTTAAGCATATGTATAGAGAAAAGATTAAGGGTATTAAGTCTTAGCATATTACATGTTCTCTTATTGCATACCACGAACAATACATGGACCTGCTGTATTATCCTCATCCACATATACTTTAGAACAATCCTCCTAATAAGTTCGAGTATATACTCCTATAGGGATTGATTATTGTAGGACCTTTGCTGCAAGAATATAGCCAACCAGAGATTCCGCTCTTTTGTGTATCAGCACTCCACACTCACCGAGAAGGTGCATTGAAGTCTTCTTAATTTTTTTAAATAAGCTGCATGTGACGCACAACTTTTAGGCACAGCTTCCTTAGATGACCACTAAATCAGCAATGCCCCATTAGTAGACCCTTGAGGATTTCCTTTTAGTTTCTTCCCACTTCTTTTATTTTATTGTTCTCATATTTACATTTGCTGTTACCGTGAATTTAGGTTTTCATGTTGAAATTTACTATTCTCGAGTTGAAATTTTCTGTTCCCATGTTGAAATAAAGCTGTTATAGTGGTGAAAATTACGGATTAAATTATCGACCGGTACACTTTAAGTAAAGACCCTATGGTAAATGAGCTTTTATATGCTATAACCTAATATTTTATTAATTTAATAAAAAAATATCCTTCAAAACGAATTGTTCTACATTTGCAAAATTACATAAAACCATTCACGCTGTGCTTTTTTTTTGTTATTTAGTAAAAGAAAAAAATATTATTCTGTTATTCGAGCGGAAACTAGCTGAGAATCAAATAAAATATTTTTGTCTGTATTACGTTAGTCCTATAAGTTTACAGAATATGAGTATGCATATAACGGTTTAATAATTTCTAAACGATCTTTTCTTTTTTTCACTTGAATTTTTTTCTTGCAACATGTACTCTTCCCATTTTTTACTTTTTTTTTATCCGCATATTAAGGATGTAAAACTATTTTTTCGGTTCATGATTTTCTTCATACAGATGCTTTGATACTTTGCAGATTTTATTTTCTATTTCCTCTTCTCTTTATATCATTATCATTATTTCCGGTTTTTTTTCTTTTTAAATTTTTATTAAGGATTAAAATTTTTTCTAATACTGAGTTTTTTCTTCTCTTTCGAAATATCATATAATCCTTGCAAAAGAATATTTTTTTTTTATTTTATATACCTTAGTTTTTCTTATACATCCTGTTTTTTTCTATGAAGATCTTTGGAAGCTGGCAAAGAGTAGTGTAATATAAGCAGTGGTTTTTTAATGTGAAAATGCTTAAGGGTCGTGCTGTTTCAAGTTATTATTAATTTTTTTTATTCTTTTTGGTGTTATGATTTGGTTCAATTCAGTTTTGCGCTATTGGGTATATGGCGGCACACATAAAATTATTATAATTAAAATGTGTAATAAATGTTATTTGTTTCGTTTCTCTGAAATGCTTTTGCTTAATTAATTGTCTCATTAAGTATTTCAATTTTTGAGTAACGTTGTTTTAGCATAAGTTATTCTGTTCCAATTTTCTCTCAATTTTAAATCCAACAAAATTACCTCACTTTTTCTACTGAGTTGTATTTCTTGATTTCCCTGAATATGAATTTCATTTAAACTTGTTGACATCTCTTGATCTGGCGAAATTCCTAACATAAGTAATTTGTATGACAAACTGGTGCGAAAACATTGAACATTATTGACATAGTTTTTTAAGTACTTGCGAGATTTTTTTCTCATTCGTCAGATGTTTTGTAGAATTTACAAAAAAATTAAGCATATTGACACAGATATAATACGAAACTATTACATTCGGTCAATTTTTTGGTGAATTCACCATACATAATAAGCCTACATATTTGTAAATTCACAAATGAAGGTTGAAACACAAGATAAGGAATAAACTTGAAACACAAGATAAGGAATGGCGTCTTTAACAACATTAAAATCTGATTTTTTCATAATTTTCTCTGAATTTCATATATTTAATGAGTGTCATTTGTTGTCTTTGATTGTCAAGAAGTGAATGGTTTCTTACGTTTGATATTTTGTTAAGTAATTAATATATTGACTACAAGTTGGGTAAGAGAAGCCATGATTTCCAATTTACTCAAAAAACTTTATATGCGTTCGTGCACTTGTTATAAGCGACGGACAATAAACGACATTTCCACATAAAAGCCGACTAAAATCGATGAATGGTAATGCAACTCTGACTTTAAGTGAATTTTCTTTTAGAAGAATAGTTTTGTAGTCATATATGTAGTATAGTAAGACATAAGAAGTGGAAAAAAAAGATTAATATAAGAAATTACTGTAACCTAAATTTATATTCATGATTCAGAGTTTTCAATTTGGTTTCCGTTACTACATATTTGTCTGGCTATTTATAAAGATTAACAAAATGTTAGAGAGTAACAGAGAAGAAAGAGCCTGATGGGAGGAAAACAAGCGGATAAAAAAGGCAAAGACGTAAATAATGTAAAAAAAAAAATTGCTTATTTCAAATTTTGGAAATTAAATTTCACGAATGAGAGCTCATAAGGATTTCTCTTTTTGTATAGAAATAGTTTCTAAATGTCGCTTAATATTTTGTTATCCTTAATATTTTTTTTCTTGGGTAGCTAAATTTTATAAATTGTTTTAAAAAAAACGTTTAAAGATCTTTAAAATGTAATATTTAATTATTTTATTTCAAGAAAATTTGCTTGCACAGCTAAAGAAAGACTGTCATTATCATAAAACAGAGTAATTGAAATTAAAACAGAGTAATTTAAAAAATACGGTTAAAATAACAGTATAAGAGTATATTTGAGTTAAAAATTGAGAAAAAGTTTTGAATTTACTTGAAGATTTTTTAAAAGAAAATCTCTTGCAGAAAGTTGAAATATGGGCTAGACTATTTTTTAATTTGTTTAACCGTTAGAGTGCCGATCGTCGATTTTTGTCGAATCGAATGTTCCCGAAAAGTGCCGATCGTCGATAATCGTCGATTGCGCAGGCGTAACTTCCCACACACGCTCCCGCGTATAGTGCGCATTTACCGGCCGTGCTTTTTCTTCACACTTTAAACCTAACTCGTGTTATTCTTTGAAGTAGATATTATTTTGCAAATAATATTTTATTTTATTGATATTCAACGATTCTTATACATAAAATGTCGCGAAGTTTCTCGTCCGAAACTTGTGATAGTTCGAGTGATGATTATACTGACCAAAGTAATGATGTGTAGCTGTGTGGTCTGTAGTCACAAGGATGGTGCAGGACTACGTCGATCAACATGGATCTGCATTCGGTGTAAGATAGGGGTGCACACCGAATGTTCAGGAAAACAAAATTGTTAATTTTTTTTATTTCATGTTTAAAATATTGTGTTCATTATATTGTTTACTTTATTTCAATAACTACTACTAATTCTTCAAAAAAACACAGAAAAAATCAAGAAAATCGGTTAATTATCGATGAAAATTTAGAAGTTTTTTTAAAAAGTCATTTTTTACACGGCATTTTGAGGTAAAGATATTCAAATTTTTTGCACTCAAACGGTTAATACGTGACTCAATAAACATTTAGTTTTATCTGTTCGGTCAATTGAACTGAATGCATAGTCTTCTTCCACTCAGTTAAACCAATATGTTTTAAAAAAAATTCTAATATAACTGATCAAATAATGTAGTTGCTGCCGACAATCAATCTCTCTTGCAATAACAATTAAATTCTTCAATGCATAGTAATTTTACTCTCGCTTCAATACATTGTTTGTATTGCCTTAGGCCTGAAAACAAACACGCGATTCTTAGTTTTGCAATTATTTGTATTGAATTAAAAGTGTTCGCACATGCGACTGAATAATTGCATCAATCAATTTGTTTCCAATTACAATCTTACAAACTGATAGCAATTTTTAGTATACACGCAATCGTATTGTGTTGACGTAACCGTTTTGGTATTAAAGGGTTTTGTGAAATTGCAACACTATTTTTAAGTAGTTTTTCTTTAGAACATAAGCTGGCAATGTAGTTGATTCGTACTTTGTTTCATGAACAAATTGAATTTATTTATTATTATTATTAATGCTTTTGTAGCTGGCATTATTCCGACTCAGATTATTAGATTTGTTCTCAGCCAGTTATAAAAAAAGCGTTGATTTCCAGATTAAAAATTTTTCATTTATAAAAGGACATTTTTACTTGAAAATATTTTATTAAATTTTATTTTTATAAAGCATAAAATTTAAGATTTGCAAGAGGCTTGTCTAGGTACATAAAAACTATAATAATTTTTACAAAGACTAAGACCATTTCTAAGGAACATTATGAAAAAGCTTTAAATAAGAAAAAAAATACAAAACCTCTCTTTTTTAATAATTTTTTTTTCTACAATTTATTACAACACTTTTAAATACAAATTGTTCTAATTCAATTTTTCTTTAAAAATTGTTTTCAAATTTTTATTTAATTTCTTTTTATAGGGTCATCGTCAGTCAACATCCTGTACCGTTTTATTTATGGCATTATATTTTTGTTGTATGGCTGCATTTGCATGGTGGTCATGTTTAGCATTTGCATGGTTCCTTGCAGCTGGCCTTAAATGGGGTCATGAAGCAATTGAAAATAAATCACATTTATTTCATTTGGTTGCATGGGCAATACCAGCTTTACAAACAATATCAGTATTAGCATTAGCTAAAGTTGAAGGTAAGTTTAAGTTTAAGAAAAGAAGTGAAAAAAAAAATTTAATAAAAAATTTTCTTTTTTTTTTTGTTGTTGTTCAGTTCGTGTCCTTTAAGGATATATTTTAATTTTTGTGCTGAAGTTAAGGAATTTTTTATTTTATTTATTTATTTTGTTTTTTTTTAAATTTATTCATTTATTCACAAGAAATTTATTTTGAAAGGAAAAGAGAGAAAACAAGAAAAACAACAAATTATTTCTTGTTTTTAAAAAATAAAATTTTTCTCTTGTGTTTTTTTTTTGTTTTTGTCCATAAGAAAGCGCTTTTGTATGTCGTCTTACAAAATGCACATTCACTTGTACACTTGTATTAAGAATAACAAAAGTAATTTTTCTTGTTTTCGTGTTTGTTTTTATTAAATTTGTATATTTAATAAGATTATAAATATGTTATTGTAATAAAGGAATGTGATTATTAAGGATACTTGAGTATATGAAAAATTAAAGATTTCAGGGACTTTATGTTGAAAAATGTGAAGAATACAAAAAAAACGTGTAGAATATTTAAAATTTATGAAATTATTTTTAAGTATTTTTAAAACGAACATTTTATTTAAATACAGAATGTACTCTAAATTTTACCTGTGTATTATTAAATTTGAAAGTTATTGAAGCATTGGATTTGACGCCAATTCCGGTTCATTTTTAATATTGAATTCTAACGCGATTTAGCTTCTGACTTTTTAGGAAATAAATTTTTTTTAGAAAATAAATTTCTTGAATTCTTTGCTCTGAAACATGTTTTTGTGAAAGTATTCTATCAACATTTTTAATATTTCAATTATTTTTGAGCCTGGAATTGCTTGATTTATTAACAATTTAATATCCTTCGATTTTCTTGAAATAATTTTTAGAAGAGTGAAATTTCGTTTGCATATTTTTTTCCCCAGGGCACAAAGCTCTTTAAGCCCTTCTCACATTTACCCATAGGGTATTTTGTGATTTCCATCCACATCTATAACCAGGCCGCTGGCAAACCGCAGCATAGTAGTCACATCAAACCGCGAGATCTTCCTCGAGGCCACAAAATATTCTGATTTTTGAATCATTTTCTGTACAGAATTGTAAATACTTCTTTATTAAATCCAAAAACTGAAGGAATTTTGAAAACTAAAACTTATAATTTGGCGTATAATTCAAAAATTTCTACAAAAATTTAATAAAAAAATTGATTTTTTTCAATTTTTGAAAAATTGTTCCAAATTTAATGAAAATTTTTTTAAATAAAATTTTCACAACTTTAATATTAAAATCGATTTTATTAAATTTTATTTTGGAAATTATTACAAACCACTTACAACGCACCAAAATATATATTAAAACATGCTTGATCTCCTCATGAACTGTGTGATTATGTTTTAACGAAAAAAAGCCTTAATATTTGCTTAAACAAAACAATATTTCCAAATACTTACATACAATAAAACATGAAAAAAATTTAAAAATCAAGTAAATAAATTGCCATATTTACATAGGGAATTCATGTCTTCTCATGATACTTTTCTCTTCATAGGAGAAACTTTTTTATTTTTTGAATAATCAAAAAAAATAAAAATAGAAAAAAGCAAAGATTTTTATTGGAAATCTTTGGTATTAAATGGAAATTGTAAACCACAAAATTTTGTTTTAAGGATTAAAGTCTTCACGGGACAATTTAAATAATTTTCATTCTTTTGTAATTTTCTTTATGTTCACCCTTCATTGTGGTTTTTCTGGCTTTTACTTTATTACACCAAATACATATATATTGATTTCTTTAAATGTTATTAGTAGTTGGCCTTTGTTTTTTTTGAAATATTGATTGGTCGATAAATTTGGTTCAATAATATTAAGTAAAATTCCAATGTAAAACTATTAAGGCGGGGGGGCTGTATAATTAAGAGGGCAATAATGTTTTTGAAAATATTTAAACCTGGTCACGAAAAATAAGAAATTTGCGACTTGGATTGAAAATTTGTGATTTACAATTTCAGTAAGTGTACACTTCTTTACTATTTTCTGTTCATCCTTTTCTTTAAATTCAAGTATAACTTAAAATTTACACAAGAAATTGTAAATTTTAAAATTTTAAAAAAATATTCAAATATATTATGGGCATTATATGGATGGATTAAATATTTAGTTTTAGTGTTTGTTAATAGGTGGGGCTACTAAATGGCGTGATTGTACTCCAAACGAATGAATCATCGTAAAAGGATATTAAATTTTACTCTAAACAACATATATCATAAAAAATCTCACATATAGCACTCATAAACATAGTCTGGGAGGTGTGATTCCTTATTAATCTTATTTTTTTCAAGTTCATTTCAATTCATCACTATGTCCTCAATAATTTAACATAAATATTCTTATACAGAACCAAATTGCTAATTATGACCTACATTAATTTTTGCATTATAACTTCAACTTGTAAACAAACTGGGTGCACTATTTTGTAAATTCACAATTTATTTACAAAATATTTAAAACACACTCACATATATATTGACATCCTATACATATTTACATAATTAAAATTGAATTTGTGTAACATTTTTTGTTGTTGCTTCGGAAAAATAAACAAAGAAAAAATTTTTCATTTTAAATTTCGCAGTAGGAATTTTTGTTTTTGTTAAAGTGTCTACTCTTTGGGATTTGTTACAAAGTAGAAGAAAAGTACAACTAACAAAATCATGTATAAACAAAAATATTGTAATATTGAAAATGAAAAATCCTTCAATAATCCAAGCAAACAACAAAATGAGAAAAGTTCATATTACATTCAATGTTAAATTTCAATGAATTTTCATAAACACACACACACGTTCTTAAATTTTTTTATATATAAAATTTTTTACACATATACACATTACGTTATACGCAAAAAATTAGCAACGCTTTAAGGCATCTCTTACTCTACATTTTTGTATTCGATTACAAAAATGTTCCAAGTTACGAAAAATCAAAAAATGAGAAAAAATAGAAAAGAAAAAACAAAAAATTAAAAAAGTTTTTTTTCTTTTTCTTTATGGAAAAACTTCTAAGTAATTTTCATTTTAAATCTGTTTTTTCTTTTTCTCATTTTTTGCTTTCTTTAATGAGCAAATATCAGATTTATAAAGCAGGAAATTTAAGAGAATTTAAAGAGAAAGAAGAGAAGAAGGCCCGGAAAGAGAGGAGAGGAAATTTCTTTTCGATATTGATAAAAGTCAAAATGAAAATTTTTTTCTATTTATAGGTGAATATGAAATCAATCGATTACTAGAGCATATTGATTTCAAATCGGGGTATCGAAATAAAATTTATTGAATTAATTTTTATTTTTCGTTTTTTCTCAATTTTTTTAACTTGGTTGTATTATTGCTTTAACAAGGGCAAAACAGGGGGGGGGGGTGGGGATGGGTAGGTTAAAAATGGAATGAGATGGGAAAAAACTGCTTAAGATATTCAAAAATAATATAGAGAAAGTCTGGATAAAATCAAAAGCGGATAATGATCTTAAGGATATTTGGTTTTTATTTTTTTTCATTATTATTATGTTTTTTCTCTTATTTTTCCATGACTATTAAAAAGTATAAATTGATTGAAGTGGAAATAAACAAAAAATTTCAAAATTAAAAAATCAAAAAAAAAACAAATATCAAAATTCTTTTTGAAAAAATTTAATTAGAATTTTTTATTTTAGATTGTGAATTTAAATGAAAAGAAATGAAGGGAATAGTAGGAGTATTAAATGTCTCGAGATTTAATTAAAAATATCTCTTAAAGGCCTCAACTCTTTAATCATTTTAAAATGCTATGTAAATGGTTGTATGTTGATTAAATTTTAAATTGGTTTTTGGATAATTTTGAAATATTGAAATTATTGCTCAGCCTTTTAAGTTTATGATAACTGTAGTATGATGTAGACAGGCTAAGATTATAATTAAATTTTGTATTTTATCTGCGATTACTATACATGTGGTGACGATCACAGAATAAATAAAAATAATTTAATTTTAAAAAATGTTTTTGTTAGTTATAATTGAGCTGCCCACTCGTTTATCCACGCGTCTGTCCACAAAATTTCTGCAATCTGTCAAAGACAGAACACTCAAATTTTATTCGCAAATGGGTTTTTCTAAGAAAACATTTTATTTGTAGATGAAAATTAATGGTTATCTTTCTCTCTCCTCTGCTATACTGTTTTAGAGTTATATTCAAAATTCCAATAATATCCTTTTTTTTTATGGCAACTTATTGAGGCGAAACCAAAAATATTTCTGAAATTTCGCAAATTTAGAAAATGTTAAGACTTGCTTCTCTTATAATTTTAAATTAATATAAGTTTTTCTTAGTTCCATTTCTAATATTATATAGTTTTGCATTTTCTAATTTTGCCGAAACCAGCAGTTTTTCCAAAATTTCTATTAAAGCAAAAAGTTAAGGGTAAATGTCTTTTCAACCAAAAAATATAATTATTTCTCTTTTAATAGCCGCCAAATTCGATTATAATTTTAATGTTTGTTTAAATATTTTGTTTTTACCCTAAAAGTATGCAATTATTTTATTTTTGTTAATTTTGAATTGAAAGACAGAAATCTTAACTTATTGTTATACGGATACAAGATAGTAAGACTTTGTTTTGTGAAAATTGTATTTGAAATTTAGAAACAAATTTGCCAAAAAAACTTATTCAATTGTCGCAGTCAGTAAACGAACAATGGGAAATATAATGACGAATCGGTAATAATTTTAAAAATTATTAAGTTCATCAAACCTTGTCGTGCTACGTACCCTCAATTTTTCTTAATATTTCGAGCATGTATTAATTTTTAAATTATTTTAGAATTTTTTTTCCTACAAAAATATCCTTCTGGACCATTTTAAATTTGTTTTCCTTAAATTTTTTTCAAAAACAAAAAAAAATTTCATAAAAGTCAATTTTAAAAAAGTTTTAAATCATGTTAGACATTATTAGCTTGTCAAATATTAAATTCCAA